CTGAATTTCTGACCATTACCGCCCACTCCCGCAACGTGCGTGGCACGCTCCCGCAAACATTCTATTGTCAATTTTGCTCTATTTCTTCAACGAAAATAGTTCCAAATATAGTAACCGCTCAGCCGCTGCGCATCTCTAAAAGCAAACACAGCGGCGTTTAATTCATGAATGAAAGTGCGTTTTTGAACGAATCTAGTGAGTCAGTGATTCATGATTACCCATTCATAAAGACATGGTGGATTTAGTTTCATTTTTAGCGTACAATTTCAGTTATTTAAATCATTTAATATTTCTGTATTCAAAATTTTATATTTAAAACATTAATCTCCACATGAATGTATGAATTTAATTGCACTCATGCCACCTCTGAGAATCATTAAACGTCTGAAAATGTACCTACAAGCCACTTTTGTGTTCTTCTGTGCCACCTCTGTAGTACAAATTAATTTTTAATTTCATATGATTGGTAACTTTTATTTGTCGTCTTGTACTACTTCTTATATTGTTTTAAATAGAAATTTTAAAAAGCTTATAAACATACATTTTTGAATTTGACATAGATGAAAATGATGCCATTACAAAGGTAAAAAGAAAATGCCCCTGTAAGTCACTTTAAAGAGTCAAATGTCACCTCATATTAGGAAGGATAATTTTTGATCAGAATTTTTGATTATTGATCAGAAGCTGCTCCTAAATTTTTTAAATTAGGAGGACAAGTACTCCTAATTACAATAAAAAACTGCTCTTAAACTGGGTGTGTGGCAGGTATGGCTGTGGAATGGGGTTTGGCTGAGGAAAAATTTTCAGTCAAAAGATTTTCTTTTGCTTTAACCCCTGCATTGTCACAGTAAAGTGTTTATTATCTTAATGTTCTTTTTGAATATCATCATTCAAAGCGTTTCTGTCTTCTTTCATTCAGTTAGGGATAGCTGGCTGTTTTTGTCCATATTAGGAATTTCCTGGAGCGTCCTGAGTTCTATTTCTTCTATAATGTATATGTGGATTTTCTGCGCATCCAGTGTGAATAAAACACACATTACATGTGTTCATAGCACTAAACAATGGCCAATCCATAAAAACAATACTACTTTTTTTTAAATAGCATTTAAAAATTGCAAAAAAGAACTAAACCAAAAACTGGTAAAAAAACTGAGGTATTTATTGAACCGTGGGCTAACTGTATTGTTGCATCCGTACGGTTTACTCTGAAATACTGTATAACAGGAATATCATTTAATAATAATTAATATTAAATTAATAATATCATAACATTAAATCTTGCAACTTCTGAAGGATCATCTGACACTGAAGACTGGAGTAATGATGCTGAAAATTCAGCTTTGATCACAGGAATAAATTACATTTGATAATATATTCAAATTGCAATAACATTTCACAATATTACTGTTTTTACTATGTTTTTGATCAAATTAATAAAGCCTTGCTGAGCTTTTAATATATTAAAATAAGAGACTTTATAAAAAAAAAATAAAAAAATCTTGCTGATTTTTTATTTTTTAAGAAAATGCACATCTTTAATTGAGCTTTTGGAGCAGACTTTGTGCAGAGGGTTTTGTAACCGCTTTTCTCTGTTCTTTTTCCTATTTCTGTATCATTCCTCATTTGACCATTATCAGGAGAGAAGAAGTTTGTGTGTTCTGAGTGTTCGAAGCGGTTCATGCGCAGCGATCACCTGGCCAAGCACATAAAGACGCATCAGAACAAGAAGGGAGGGGGCGGAGCCGTGGTGGCCAGTGTGGGCGGAGCCATGTCCTCGGACAGCATCATCACAACGGGCGGCACCACACTCATCCTCACCAACATCCAGCCCGGCACCATGCAGGGCCTGGCCACCGTCAGCGCTACCGTCAACACGTCTAGCTCACAGGACCAGCTGAGCACAGCCGAGATTCCTCTGCAGTTAGTCTCAGTGTCCGCCGGGGACACGGCCGAGTGACACACCGTGAACGCTCTGTTAGACTGCCAAGGCTCCGCCTCTTCCTGTATGACATCACATTCTCTTCTCCCGCAACCTGAGACTTCATACGTCGATTCCAAGCTCACACATTTACCTTGCTTTTATACCTTTACATATTTACCCTCCTTTGCGTAAATATGTACATTTACGTGAATGCATATACACACACACACACACACACACACACACATATATATATATATATATATATTTTACAAATATAGAATTATTGGGGGTTTTGTTCATCTTTTTATGGGGGAAGCATTATTTCTTGTTTTCACATACAACACTGAAATGCCTTATATTGTATTATAAGCTGTCGTGTACAAAGCTCGAGTTCTTCATGGGTGTAAAGCATCTGTTTCTGTGTGTACTTGTTGGAATGGGAATAATCGTGTTGTGTAACAGACGGGTGGCTGATGTTAAAGGAGCAGCTTAGCCAAAAGTGAAAATCTCACGTTATTTATTTCCCCCTCCATTACGGCATTCCAAACTCGTGCGGTTTCTTTGAGGGAAAATTGTTTTCTTTCCATGCAACAACACGTCCATGTCTGTCAAGCTCCAGAGTGGACAAAAACTAGTCCATGTGACTAGAATCATGTTGTGTGAGAAACAGACCCAAAATGCAAGCTTTTATTCAGTGAGAGTCATCCCATCAGCTGTATAACTTTGTCAGACTCTGCGTTTTCTGTCATGGGCTTTGTTTGGATGGGCTTCAGAAGAATGTAGCGTCTTGAGTCTAAACGAGTTCTCGTGGAGCGGGGGAGTAAGTAATGGCAGAATTTCCATTACTGTGGGTGAGCTGTTTCTCATTTTAATTATAGGTCGTAAGTGATATTCGTGGTGTAAGTTCTCCATATAAGGAGTAAGATATAAAACTTTGGTGAGGAGCCTGCCATTGTGCTGTTGGGAGTCACGAAGGTGTCCAATAGTGTCTTTACATGTCTCCGATGCTCCTCATGAAAATGCATTTGATTTATTTTATGTAGTTTTATTTTGTGTAGGTAAACCCAGGCCTGGCAAAGGGGAAAAATATGAAACAATCATGTAATTAAAAGCATTTTATGTATCATAATTCTCAAACCTCTATGAGTTGATCAGATCTTTCAATATGAATTTGTTGCGAATGAAGTCTTTTTTGAGCAAAGTGATATTTATATATACATTGTAACCTGGATTTGTGGTGTCCACAACTGCTTTTCTAAGGGAAAAAAACTCCCTTCGGCTTTACTTTTTTAAAGAACTGGACTGTAATCAGCATCAAGAATCATTTGTATGAAATGAAGCGGTTTGTAGTTTGCCAAATTTGATAAATAGATAGAAAAACTCTTGATTTATGTCTGATGGTTTGATCTGTACTGTGTGTTTCAGGACCAAACGAGCAGCTCAGTGTGCTCAACTACAACAATACAACAGGCTAACAGGGTTTTGGGATGTGTTTTGTGGCGGGACCTTTGCGGTCACATCTCGGTCTAACCGTGTGGTGATGTTGGCGGCGTTCACGGTGGTCAATATGTAGGTTTTGAACTCCCTCTCCTTCGTTCACTTACTGTAGCTGCGAGTCTGACGCCTTCAATCACAGAGAGCGGTGGTCCTCAGAGGAGTTCGCTAATGAACGTTGTGTAAGCAGTTCTCAAGGTTTTATTTGAATACACTGCAGGTCATCAGGGAGGACGCACTCGTTTGCTGTCAGTCCATGTACAAGTATGGCTTTTGTTTCCATGTGGTACTGTACAATTATTCTCCGCTGATCTGGTTTTATTCCTTCAGCTAATCAGGATGTCTCTTTATCTACTGCTTTTGAGTACCGTTGCCAATTGTTGTGTTGGGGATTTTCCCGTAGCCAAGTTCGTAACGATCAGGAGTTTGATTGAAAAGGTCCAGCGGCGTTAATGGCAGATAATCAAACACCATTTTGTTTTCTGATTTGATAAGGGGTGCTCTGTCACAGTGACCCAGAATTGCTTTTTTTTTTTTTTCCTAGTTTGTGAAGTCTAATTTGATATTATAAATAGCATCTTAAACATGTCACTTTTATATTTTTATTTGGTCATTTTTCCAGGAACGCTTCAGACTATTGTACAATGCCCACTTTTGAGGGCAGCTGTTTTTCCACACTAAAATGACTAAACATGATCCTGTGCTTGTCAGTTGTCTTATTTTCACAGAACACTGATGCACATGCTTGCACACAACAGTAAAAATAGTTGACAAATAAGAACCATACATTTTATCCACCCCCCATCATAAAAAAAAAAAAAAGCTAATTTAAATAAATCATTTCTTCAGCAGGGATGCATTAAATTGAATCCAAGTGACTGTAAAATAAAGAAGTTGCATTGTTTCAATACACTTCCGATTTAAATAAACACTTGAATCCTAAAAATATAAAAAATGTTTGTTGTGCTGCAAATATGCATATTCTGAAGGATCATGTGACACTGAAGACTGGATCACATGATCAAATTACATTTCAAAATATATTACAATAGCCATTAGTTGAAATTGTAGTAATATTTCACAATATTACTGTTTTTACTGTATTTTGGATTAAATAAATGCAGTCTTGTTGAGCATAAGACTTCTTTAAAACATCTTTGAATGATAATGTTTTATTTTATTTTTTATTGCCTTGTTGCCTTAACTAGTTCATTTGAAATGGTTTCAAATTGTGTGATGTTTTTTAAAACTACAACTGTTCATATATTCAATCTTTCTATAAAAGTTTGAATAGGCAAAAGCATGCGTGCAATACATCTACTATTTGCATTAATACTACAAATTTTGATTGAAATGTTCTATTCATGTTCGAAAACCAATCAATTCTTAAAGTGTGTGTGTGTGTGTGTGTGTGTGTGTGTGTGTGTGTGTGTGTGTGTGTGTGTGTGTGTGTGTGGGTTTTGTGTGTGAAGTCCAGTAGATGTCACTGCAGCAACAGGATATCCAGCTGAGTCTCTGACCGCATCCTACCCTCTAAATCCTGATATATTCCTCATCTCATGTGCGTTTACAAGCGTCTCTGACTCGTTCAATGTTAAAATATGTATAAAAAGAGCAGGCACGACGAGCATCCGCCCACCCAACCCACCGTTTTACCCCCTTAAATTGTATATGAAATGTTTATTTTTGAACTTGCTCAAGTGTGAACAAAATTCCCCTCCATGCCTTTTTCATTTTCAATTTAGATATACACTTACAGCAATTTCCTCTCAGAGGGGCTTATATATTAAAACCACATCACATTTCATGGTCAGAGTCTGTTTTACCTGTTGTCTATTGTGAACATTAAATCCAGCTGTGTGGAAAATTGATTCGGATAGTTGACAATGTATTTTAAATGGGGTTTTTTTGTAAATGTTTTAAATGGATTTCAGTTGTTTTTATAACATTATATATATGTAATGTTATTTTGAAGAATGTTGGTTTCAAATTGCAAACTGCTTTTGTCTCATCATCACTTATGGTTGTGGCCACACATAATCAAAAGTGTCCACTGAAATCTTTTATCGGTCAAATCAAAGCGAAAAAACATGCTCCGGAATTCTACATGATTTGTCGCAGAGATTCAGAGAAAACAGTCTATTAATGTTCATATGGAGCCGCCCGTTGCCTGACACCTTTCATTTGCATAATTTAATGAATTCAATTCATTGTAATGCAATACAGAGAGCAGGGTGAACATGAAATGACAGTTTGAGTTAATGAAATGTGTTAACGGTATCATCATTTACTTGTATGTTAATTAGTCCAATTAATTTCCAGTGCACGGTAATCTGAATATTGTAATAGCACCGTGCGCATCTGAAGTCAGGTGGGGAGCGGGGCATATTGAAGCAAGGCCTATGAATCATCACATTCTCACCTTTCCAAGCCACTTCCGAAGGTTACCCAGAATCCTCCAGTCGCTCGCCCAACTGGCCTTCCTCATATTGGAGCCGCTCGCCTTTCTAGCGCCAGATAAAAGCATCAGAAGTCCAGCTGATAGCCGAGTTTTGTTTGGATGACTTCTTTCTGACCTTGTGTGATGTCCGGTTCCTCTGATAGAAGGAAAGTGATAAATTCCTGTAAAAGCAGCAGTGTGAGGAGATCGATGGGAGGCCCCACGCTACAGCTCTGATAAGTGAAATTGCTCTGGTGTGTATGGGCCACTTTCTGCTGGACCGCACAGATAAAAGCGCCCCTGTTTTCCTGCGGGATCTGGATGGGGAGGGCAGCTCAAAACTCTCCAGCTGCCATTGTTTTGCAGTATTGCCTTTTGTTATTGTCGTGTTAAAACAGTGGTTCCCAAACATGTTTCTGGATGTTTTGCATGTTTCCTTTGTCTGACACACACACACACACACTTCAGTTCTTGGAGTCTCTAGTAACGAGCTGATGAGTTGAATCAGGTGTGTTTGATTAAGGAGACATGAGAAATGTGCAGCTTTGAAGGGACTCCACTGATCTAAAACATGGTTTCAAACCGGAGACTCGCAACCAGGCCAGAGACCCTTGAATAAATCAATTAAGATGCCAGATTATATTGACAACATATAGAGCTTTTATTATTTATATCAACAAACCATAAACTACAAATTAACCACAAACTACATTTTCAAAAATATACGTATTTTTATAAAACTGTAAAATTCTGTGAAAAAAAAAAAATATATATATATGTGTGTGTGTGTGTGTATATATAGGTATATATATATATGTATGTGTGTGTGTATGTGTATGTATTATATATGTGTATATATATATGTATGTGTATTATATATGTGTGTATATATATATATATATATTTGCCTGTGTGAACTGTGGGTATTATTGAAATTCTATTTGTTTATTTATTTACATAAAGATGAGGGAGAAAGGGGAAAAAATAACCGAATTTTTCCAAAAATCAAGTCCTTTATACAGAGCTTTCAAAGCAGCTTTGCACTAATAATCATGAAAACAATAGTGTTAATGTTGTAAAATTCATCAGTTATGAAACAAATCTGTAAATCATTTCAGTTATGGGCAACTTTGCAGAAGACAATAGTGTCATTATTCAAATTAATTCAGTTCAGTGTTGATTCAGTTCAGTTTAATAAATGTGTAAAATTCGTCAATCATTAACAAGTGTAATTCAGCTATAAGCAGCTCTACAGAAGACAATAGAGTCATTTTCAGCTCCATTCAGTTCAGTGTTGATTCAATTCAGCTCAATAGCAGTAGTAATGCTGTGAAGTTATTATCATTATACAGCTCAGTCCAGTTCAAACCTCTTCTCATCTGATAGTGTCAGTGCAGTCAAATCAATAATATTAGTGAATATTTATTGTCTTTTAAACCCCAGCTGAGCAAATCCAGTGACAGATATGCCAGACACATCTATAGAAAACAGATTGAAAGAAGAGCGGAAATAACACAAAAGAAAAAAAAAAATGTTAAGGATATTACAAACAATCAATCAATGAAAAAGTGTTTCCATTAAATAAAATATAACAAATAAATAAATAGTATTAAAATTATGAATAATAGCTTTTTAAATTATTCATTTTGTTGTAGCAGCATAAACAACACTACTTATTTCAAAACAGATGTAGTTACATTCTTCTCTGTCATTCAATTTTTCTTTTTCTTTTTTACATAATACAAAAATTAAAAAAAATTAACTAAATAAAATAAAATATATTAATAACATTAATCATATTTACTATTCGGGGAGTGGTTAGATGTATACTTAATAGTCAAACTCCATACTAAATGATGTTAAAAGTTTGTTCTTGGTTTATGGTGAAGACTGTGGGAGAAAGTCTACTAGTTTCCGATGTGTGGTAGAGAAAAGGTATGCAAGGGAGATTGCAATGACATTTTTCATTCAGGAGGGAAGGGTCATTTGTTTTATACCTCCACAAAGTCTGGCCTTACATATTCAACCCACTTGGACCAGAGTTTATTGAACACATTTTTTCTGAAGACAAAGGGAAAAAATAATATTTTCCATAACATAAATATAATTTACTATATCTACACTCTAAAAAATGCTGGGTTAAAAAAGGGACAAACCCAGCTATTGGGTTGTTTTGACCCAGCTATTGGGTTGTTTTGACCCAGCTGTTGGGATGTTTTGAACCCAATAGCTGGGTCAAAACAACCCAATAGCTGGGTAAAAACATCCCAACCGCTGGGTCAAAGCAACCCAATAGCTGGGTCAAAACATCCCAACCGCTGGGTCAAAACAACCCAATAGCTGGGTAAAAACATCCCAACCGCTGGGTCAAAGCAACCCAATAGCTGGGTCAAAACATCCCAACCGCTGGGTCAAAACAACCCAATAGCTGGGTTTGTCCCTTTTTAACCC